AAGCGCTCGGATCTCAGGCCAGTTCTCCATCAGACTGTGCTTCAGTCACAGCTTTCTCTGTGCCAGGGACCACGTAGGCACTGTACCTGTGTTGTCTCAGGTACCTGCTGCAAAATTGGTAACTTCCATCTTGCTGGTGAAGAGACCAGGACTTAGGTGGAAAGTGCTTCTCTCACACTCCGTACTCGCACATAGAATTGGGCTGTCCTTTCATCACTCCGCGCTGGAATGCTCAGCACGGTTCATCCTGGGAGCTAAATGGTCCTTGTCAGGCCCTTTAAAGCAAGAAATGAGCCCATTAATCCTCAGCAGGGCTTTTCGTGTACTGCCCTTTAGAGCCTGTGGTTCAATCGATCCGTCCATTTCCAGTGACACAGCGGCGTCCCATTTTCAGTATCGCAGCTCGCTTGCGGATTTATTTTGGCTTTACCATCTCATGCTTATCCATCCAGAACTGAGTCGTCTCAGGACATGTGGCATCAAGTAACAGAAACCCACTCCAACTTGCTTAAGCAAAGAGAGGATTTATTGGAAGCACGCAGGGGCACTGCATAGACCCAAAGGGCACGGTGTGTGGCCAGGGTCCAGAACCAGGAACCACAAAGCAGCTCATCTCTGCCTTTCTGTGCAGGGCTGTTTCCTCTGTGACCTTGTGCTTCATTCATCTCCTCTGGAAGACCAGCTTTCTCTGCACACAGCTTTCAAATTCATTGCACCCAGTTCAAGTCGTCAGTCCAGAATGATCACCCAAGGATGACTGTCACCTGAGGTCACAGGACCTGCTTTGGGAAACAGTGCCCAAGCAAGAACCCTTCCCATGGCGAGCAGGGCTTTAGCTTCGCTGCTGTATCACAGAGCCTAAACCAGTGCCTGGCATATAATAGGGGCTCAATAGCATTTGTGGAATGGATGGATCCAGCTGACTCAGCCACACACACCAGGCAACGCTCTACCCTGTGGTCACAGTCATGTTCAGTGCGGTCTTTTGCCTCAATCACCTGCCGGTGGCTCCACTTTGCCAGAGCTATGAGCAGTCCCAGGAGAGCAGAAACCAGAATCGAGGACAGGTGGAGTGTGGAGTATCAGCTAGGGGCCCAGCATGTAAAGGCAGTCCCCATCTTCCGGGATTTCAGTTAAAATCAGGATCAAAGCTAGCAAGGGGGATGTATTGGGAGGACACAGCATCTCTAACAGAACTCAAGCGCAGAAGTACAGCCAGGTTTCCCACGGACCGTGGACCCAAAAGTCGCCAGGAGGCAGCTGTCTCTCTAAGGTTTGTTTAACGGCAGCCTCTTTGAGCAGTTAGCTTCATTCTCTCTTGGAAGAGCAGCTTCCCCTGATTCACTCGCCTGTGGCCCATCCTGATGGCCCCCAAATGGTCACCTAATCCCTGAGACCACATTGCCCAACTGACATCTTGATCCCAGATCCAGATTCCTGGGAGAGACGTGCCTAACTTAGCTCAGCTTCTGATTGGTTCTCCCTGGGTCATGTGCATAGACCCCAGGTCCAATCAGCTGTGACCTGAAAGTGTGGAGTCACATGATACCAATATGGCTGCAGAGAGTCCTCCTTTTCAGTGGGGTGGGAGTGCAGGGTGTGACTTTAAGAAAACCTTAATTCATTCAGATTTCTGCTGACTGCTCTTTCCTAGAGCTGGGGCCATTTCTGGCCCAAGAACACGTGGGTGGCTTCTTGCATTTTCATACACATCTCTGCCTCTTGTATTTTCCTTAAGAACAGAACATGATGGGGAGGAAAGAAAAGGCCTGGAGTCTTCTGATTTTCACCTTTTAGCCCCTCCTCCCCTTTTTCTCCTTTTCTTTTCTCTCTCCTTCCTTTTGTTTTTCTTATAGTCCGAATTGTAGTCCAAAGACAGAGACCCCTGAGAATGATGATGATAGGACTGAAACAATAAGCAAACGGGACGAGTGTGCATTGGGGAATTTTGAGTGAAGATGGCCCCCTGCTTTAACGGGCGGTTCTAACTTAATATTGCAGAGAACTTCCTCCCTCTCTAGATACTATTCAGGACTCCAACCTGTGGTTAACATTTCCAGCTAACATTTCTCTCTGCCTTTGTTTTAGAAAGAGGTGAACCTACGCTCTATATTGTATTAATATATACCAGACGTCCATTATATATCCTGAGTAATATAAATAATTTTCTACTTGATCATTTCCACACATACAAGTGTTACTAAACCCAAAAAGGGGTCCAGCCTACGTCCCGTCACTCACTGCACAAAGAGCCAATTATTGAGAAAACGAGGACTGCCAGGGAAGACGGGAACTTTAACATGAAAGATGTCTGTTGGGAGAAATAGCCTCAAATCCGTGCCCCCAGCCCCTCGACTAAGGGCAAGGGCTTTTTTTGGTGGGTTGTGGAAATGCAGGTCAGGTTGCCTGGGGTTTGAAGTCACAGGGTCTTCAGGTGGTCTGATTCAAGAATCAGCTGTTGGTGACAGATGGTGAGTCCTGTGACGAGGCTAATTAAGTCTGGTTGTTAGGCTTGACTGGTAAAGTCTGAGGGAACAAAAAAATATAATAACTTAGGAAGGGGGTCATTTTGCAAGGCTCGTTACACAAGCAGGGGTCCTAAATGCTATTTCCGTGGCAGCCCTGCCTGTAGGAAGAGTCACAAAGTATTCAGGTCGAAGAGGGGGCTGGTCTCTAGTGAGTTGAAGATTGAGCCTTGTATGGGTTTGCTATGATGCCTGTAACAAGTTACCACAATCTTGGTGACCTATAACAACAGAAATTTGTTTTCTCTCAGTTCTGGAGGCCGGAAGTCCAAAATCAGTAACGATGGGGCCAAAATCAAGGTGTCAGCAGGGCCATGAACCCTTCAGACTCCGGGGAAAACTCCATTCCTTGCCTCTTCCGGCTTCTGGTGGCTGCCAGTGTTCCCTGACTCGTAGACGCAGCCTCTGCTCTCTGCCTCCGTGGTCACATTGCCTCCTGTTCTTCTGCGTATATAATCTCCTCCTCTCTCATTTACTGTGGTTGGTAGTAACCCAGGATAACCTCATCATCTCAAATCTTAATTTAATCACGCTTGCAAAAACTTTTCCATGTAAGGTTATAGTCGCTGGTTCCAGGGATTAGGGTCTGATATCCTTGGGGGCCACCATTCAGCACACCACAAGCCCCAAACCTCTTTCTACCCCACAGAGGGTCTAGACTAGGCAGACACCCCGAAAGGTGTCTACCAGAAGCCACATTGAGAGCCTTTCCAGAAAGTCATTTCTCAGTGCGCCTGGGACCTTGCTATCCTGCTCGTTTATTTTTCCTCCTGTTTATTGTCTAGATGGGAAGAAGCATACAGAGTAACAGACGGAGGCCCAGGCCAGAGACATGAGATGTGGAGAGACGTGGAGAGCCACGGGTCGGCTCAGAAGTGGGCCGGGGAACAGATCAGGCCTCTGGGTGTTCCATGCCACAAAGCCAATCCCAAAGGCTCCCCTTTTCGTAATGCATTTGCACAAGGCAAGTGAAAGTTTGGAATTTTGGGCACCACGGCCAATCCTGAGATAAGGGGATTCCCCTTTCCAACTGCCATCCCTTCCCTCTCCATGGGAGCTTGTTAGGAAGCATCAGAGCCTGAGAATTACTCTTCCAACCAGGCTCCAGGCCACACAGACTCCCGGCAGGCCCACTCCACGCTCACCAACACCAGGAAGGCTTCCTCTGGGCTTGGGTCTGTCTTCCCAGCCACCTACTCCACAGTCAAGACCTTGACCCCAGAGGTCTCCATTCCCCTCCTTTGTCCGTCCTCAGCAGTCTGCGATGGCCTGGGCATTTCTCACTGGTTGCACTGCTTTCCTGGGCTGCACAGGGAGTCACTTTCCCCGTTTAGGAGGACGTGCTCACCCACCCTGCATGCTCACAGTCAGTTCTGGGGGCAGATGACAGGCTGTGCCGAGCTCCCTCCTGGTCAATCCTCAGGAGAGGGATGTGGGCAGGATGCCTAGAAGGCTGCTGTTTAAACAACCAGAACTTCCTGTTGCGCACAAGGGTTGATGGGGACAGCCTCCAATCTCAGGAGTTCAGGTCCTCATTCCCCATCTAGAAAAGCCTTTTATACTGAGCCGCATAGTAGAGTGTTTAAGAACTCAGGCCTTGGAGCCAGATGCCGTGGGCTCAAATCCCAGCTCACACCACACTAGCGGTGTGACATGGGGTGCTTTCTTTAACCTAAAGCCTCTGTGACCCAACCTGCAGAATTGAGTCCAGGCTAAATGGGAGAACACGCGTGAAAGGCTTAGCACAGCACTCGGCAGGTATTAAGTGTTCAGTACATGTTAGCTATTATCACTGGTATTTTTCCCTAAGAAGGTCAGTATTGGAAAAGCTGATAAAGTAATTCAGCACCCAAATGTATTACATATAAAATATTTATTATAAAAAGCTCCGGCACTAGGCATCTTAGAAGGAACAGAACATTTCCTACACTTTTTTTTTTGCTGTTACACAGAAGAGACTAGTAAAGTGACCGACGAGGACGGTCACCTTACACATCACGTGCTGAAGCTCGTCAGGCCTTAGGCCCTCAAAGAACCGCTGGCAACAGGGGCCTCGGAGAGAGCCGCCACCTGGGCCTCACCACTCGATTCACGCAGCAGCCCTGCGTCTTTTCTACAAAGCTCAGTCCTATTTCCTGCCCACAGTTAAGGACTCCAGTGAAGGAAGCAAACGTATAACTTGTTTTCTTTTTGAAACAAAACAGTCCTAGTGGAAGCAAAACGAAACAACCACAATCTAAGCTGGTTGCTAGGTGTCCTTTCCTAGCTGGAAAGAGGAGTGTGTCGCCCACGATTCAGAGTTGAGGGAGGAGGATGAGGAAGAAGAGGAAGATGCCTGAGCTGCGCCTTGACGTGGTCCACAGGCTCACGGGTTCCAAGGCCGCATCTCTTTCGGAGGCACCTGCTACACGAGGCTCTGTGGAGTATCAGAGTCACTCCTGACACAGACGATCCCACCCCCATCCACACTGCTGAGTGCATCGCTGGCCCCTCCGCTCAGCCGTGGCTGAAGGGCTTTCTTATGGTCTGTTGGTGCGGAGGGTGAGAGACACGGGAGGGAACATGGCTCGAGAGGGACCATTCAGTCAGGTGGCCGGGTGTCGGGGGCCTTCTGGACGTCATCGTACTGTGGCGGAGGTGTCAAAGGCTCAATGGAAGGAGGGGGGATGTTTTTGTCCGGGAGGTTGATCCTAAAGTCTTTGAGGTGAAGCTTTTCGGATTTAATCCTTCGAACTTTCAGTGGTTTTAGGCGTTTGGCCAGCTTAGAGTTCTGCCTGTCAGGCGGATTCCCCGGGCTGGTCTCCAGGTCAGCCCTGGTGGGGGTCGTCTCGTCCAGCCCCGTCAACGACTCGTAGGAGGGGAGAGAGATGCTCAGCCGCGGGTTCTGGTCCACCACCCTCGCTTCTGAGTAGTTTGTGCTCATCACTTCCTCGTAGCTGGGGACGTAGTACCTTGAGGCGGCCTCCTCCTCCTCCTCCTGGCTGCAAGATGACAAACGCAGACAAGGAGAGTGTTAGCATGCACTTGAGTTATCTAAAATCACTAAGAGGTGGACTCCAAATCCCACGTTGGCACTGGGTCTACACACACCAGCCTTGTAAGCAAGAAACGGGTCCCAGACGTAATAAAAGCTAACACTCCACTGTTTGCTACGAGCCGGGCACACTTCTGAGTGCTTTAACACTGTGGTCCCCAACCCCTGGGTTGCAGACCGGTTGGTACCAGTCTGTGTGTAGCCTATTAGGAACCGGGCTACACAGCAGGAGGTGAGCGGTGGGTGAGCAAGCGACGTTTCATCTGTATTTACAGCCGCTCCCCATCACTTGTATCACTGCCTGAGCTCTGCCTCCTGTCAGATCAGCAGAGACATTAGATTCTCACAGGAATTTGAACCCTACTGTAAACTGCGCATGCGGGGGATCTAGGTTGCGGCTCCTTATGAGAATCTAATGCCCGATGATCTGAGGTGGAACTGAGGTAGTGATGCTAGCACTGGGGAGCGGCTGCAAATGTAATAATGTAATGTGCTTGAATCATCCCCAAACCATCCTCTCCCTTCTCCCCTGGGATCCATGGAAAGATTATCTTCCATGAAACCAGTCCCTGGTGCCAAAAAGGTTAGGGACCATTGCTTTAACACATATGAACCAATTTCATATTCCTAACAACACTATGAGCTAAGTACCATTAATATTTTTATACCCAGTTTATGGATGGGGAAACTGATACATCAAGGTTAAGTGACGTGGTCAGACCTTGAGGAAATGGGAGGGCAGGAAGTGAACAGCCCACTCTGAACCACTGCACTGTACTATCCGGGTGTTAAACTTCCTTTGCCTTAAGCCTTCCCCACTTAACAACATGCCACGCAGGCTATTTTAATGCCCAGCTGGGTCCTTTGGCCAAAGGTTGCAACACACAAGTGGATGAAATAGCTGCTAACCTGAAGCAAAATGGTCGTCCCCTAGAGAACGAATATCTGAAATATAACATTTCCATGTATCTCAACTTATTCTGTAATTTTATCTTCCAAGTTCATCCTAAAACTTGAAAAGATCAGGTCCTCAGCCTTAATTCTCATTTGACTATTGAAAGAGAAAACCAAAAAGGATGGTTTTCACACATTAATAGGGAGTCATTTTCCAGCACCTACCATGGAATGGCCACGGCCAACATCAGAGCCTCACTGTTCCTCTCACCTTCCTGTAGGGATGAACTCACGTGTGCTCGTGGCTAGGCTGGGTAATTATGGGGGACTGATTTTCCTTCTTTGTTCTGTATTTCCCAAATTTTCTAGAATAAGCATGTGTGATGGCTAATTTTATGTGTCAACTTGACTGACCGCGGGGTTGCCCAGATTAAACATTGTTTCTGGATGTTTCTGCGAGGATGTTTCCAGAAGAGTTTAGCATTTGACTTGGTGGACTCAGTAAAGCAGGTCTCCCTCCCCATGTGGAGGGAGGGGGCATCGCCAATCAGTGGAAGACTGAATAGACCAAAAGTTAGAGGAAGGAGGAACTAGACCCTTTTTCCTGCCTCACTGCTTGAGCTGGGACATCTCATCTCATCTTCTCCTGTCCTCAAACAGGGATTTATACCATCACCCACCCTGGTTCTCAGTTGGGCCCTTGGACTTGGACGAATCACACCACTCGCTTTCCTGGGTCTCCAGCTTTCAGACAGCAAATCATGGGACTCTTTGGTTTCTATAATCCTATGAGCCAATTCCTTATGATAAATCTCCTTTTAAATATATTATCCCACTGGTTCTGTTTCTCTGGAAAACCCTAATAGAGCATGTATTATCTTTTATTATCAGAAAACGAGTTTAATTTTTCCAAGATAAAAACAACTCTCCTCCTGCTATAAAGTTAAGAAATGCTTGTAGAAAATTCAAACAATACAGAAAAATCTAATGAAGAAAACAAAAACATCCCAAATCCTTCCATCCGGGATTACCACTGTTGGCATTCTGGTGTATACCTTTCCAATCCCCCTCTAATCCTACAGCCACAACGATTGACGTGATTAGAACGTTACCCAAGATGCTGTGTTATAACCTCCGTTTGTCAACCTTGTGGAAATGGTCCTACATTGACAAATTTATTTCAACGATGGCTGCGTAGGACTCCATGGGATGGATTATGTCATAATTTAACTTGATGGATGGATATTTAGGTTGTTTCTAAGTTTTTCCTATTCTAAAACTATCTAAAAGGATCTGATAAACATACTGGTATAAACTCCTTTGCACTTGTGTAACTGTCTCCCTAGGACAAACTCTTAGGAATAGACTCAATGCACACATCTTCAGTTCTACTCCTTATTGTGAAACTATTCAGAAGGTTAGGTCAGTCACACTCCATCAGCAACCCATCTTCCCTACAACTCTTCAATATCACGAGCTATCTTGGCGAATATGGCAGGCAAAAAAAAAATAATTTTGTTTGCATTTCATGACTAATGAGGTTGAACATCTGTTGGTTGAACAGCTATGAACTACTCATTCCTAACTTTTGTCCATTTTCCTACTGGTGTGTTTGTTCATCTATTTCTTTTGAGAAGGGTCTCGCTCGGTTGCCCAGGCTAGAGTGCCGTGGCATCATCATAACTCACTGCAACTTCAAACTCCTGGGCTCAAGTGATCCTCCTGCCTCAGCCTCCCGAGTAGCTGGGACTACAGGCACGCGCCACCATGCCCAGCTAATATTTCTATTTTTTGTAGAGATGGGGGTCTCAGGCTATGTTGCTCAGGCTGGTTTTGAACTCCCGGTCTCAAGTGATCCTCCTACCTTGGCCTCCCAAAGTGCTAGGATTACAGGCGTGAGCCACCACGCCCGGCCTTCATCTTTCATATTCATTTGGAAAGGCCCTTTTTATTATAAGGATATCGACCTTTATCATACGTTCCCCAATTTATCACTTATCTTTTAAAGTTGTTTGAGGCATTTTTGGTCAACTAGAATACTGCTTTGCAACCTTTTCCAATTGAAGTGTACTCACAGAGCACACTGGGGTGAACAGCCAAGCATCCACTGTGGAGGCTGGCCACCCCAGGCCTTGTTCAGTTTCTTTGGGGGTGTCAAAGTTTGGTACACCTGGGATCCATTCATACCACATTATTTGGGAAACTCTGGTAGAGAAGTATAAAGTTATTTGTAAAATGATAAACTGTTTACGGAGCCTTAATGGAAAAAAAAAATGGGAAGGTAAAGCTTTGTAGACTAAAACCTTTTCCCTGTCGAAGGGTGTGAGCGTGTGCCAGGAGGGGAGGGGGCCTGTCCGTCCTCACCTGTCCTCTTCCTGGGTGTGCGGCCCGGCCCCCGTCGGCTGCGGGCTGTGCGCCATCTCCTCGCCTCGCCGCTGCTTCCTCTTGTCCCTGATGCTCAGGCAGATGGACAGCAGCAGCAGCATCACTCCAGCCCCCACCAGCACGTAGGCCACCGAGAAGGTCTTGCTCTTGAGAATGCCGCTGCCGACCTCGGTCTTGTTGCCCTGAGCCGTCGGCTTTTCCGCGGCGCTGAACCCAGGTACCAGGTTCCACATGGCCATGATGATGCCCAGGACCAGCATCCCCAGGCCGATGGCGGTCAGTGCGTAGTGCGAGCCGTTGGCCTTCGACTGGGCCATCATGTCAGCAGGAGGTGGGCGAGGCCCCGTCCAGAGAAGGAAAACAAATAAATAAAAGCAGCAGCAGCAGCAGAAACCCCTTCAATGCACTGGACAAAATCTCAGCGCCACACTAAGAACACAGCGGCCAGACTCTTGAGGGAGGGTCGCGAGCAAACGTGAGGCATCCTGGGTGGACAGCGGCAGCTGGGAGGTCTGAAAGCAGGAAGAGCAGAAAGAAAAATCAGTTCGGATTTAGGATGCTCGGGGGAGCGCAGTGGGCCCGCTCCTACAGGAGTTAAGAAGCAGCAGCAGCCCCGGCTCTGGCCCGGCCTCGCCTTTGATGCATTCCAGATGTCTTGCGTGGGGCTCCTTGTGTGAGCCCGACCCGCCCACCCCGCCCACCCGCTTCCCCCGCAAAAGGAAAAGCCAGACCCTTCCCTGCAGGAGGCCAGAGAGGTCAGAGCTCAGGTCGTTAAAACATTTTGTGGAATTTAATCAAGTGCAGTCACATCTGAGCTCCCACTGGAGACGGCAGGGAGAGTGAGTGACAGGCGAAAGAACCACAGTTGACAGTAGTGACTGGGACGGGCCATCAGCCAGTGGTATGTCCCACCCAGTCCAAACAGCCCACGGTGGTCTGGTCACCACCCTCGATAGCTCCCCATTTCCCGCGGGAGAAAGTCCGGCCCTTAGACTGATGCTCAGGCTGCCTTCCCCCGACCCGCCTCTCCCACTCCATCTCCCCGCACCTTCTTTCACACGCCCCTGCAGAACTTCTGCAGCTCTCGGACCGCCCCAGCTCGGGCGCCCCTTCCAGGTGCTCCCAAAGGGCCCCAACAACTACGGTGGCAAGTCTCTCTCTTCTGTGACCACATCTTCATCATCTCTGAGCCTGGCACATAGCAGGGACTCAAAAATTGTCTGCGGGATCAACGCTAAGGAAATGAAAGAGGCCACACGAAGCCACTCAGCAAGACAAGCTGCTCTTCAGCCACGTCGAGTTTTCCTTTTCTTGAAGGGGGCAGAGCCTGCACATTTTTCATCTTAGCTCCTGTGCTCAGCTGGACCGGAACCCTCTTCCCGGGGAAGGAGCTCCTGGGATTCCATAACCACTTGGTTGAGAGGGGGCCAGAGAAGAAAGTCACCTGAAGGGTTTAGGGTAGAAATTTCCAGGGAGCAAGGAGGAGGAATAAGCAATGCACCTTGCTAAACCACTGCCCAATAAGTTATTCCTGTGACAGGAACTTTTGCAAAACAGTAAGACTTTATAGATGTTTAGATGGGCGAGGTCCTGTTTTCAGTTCTGCATTCTTTCCGATCCTTCTAAAGGACGGCTAACCGGGCTGCTTGAAATCTGATGCGGCGAAGATATTTTCTTGTCAAACCTTGGGCTTAATCTGAAACTGGCCACTTTGTTAAAAGATACTCTAAAAATATTTGGAACAACATCCTTTATGAGTTTGAAGTCTGTTCCTTTTTTTCACTCAACAAATATTTCTTGTGCATCTAACTACCTGCTAAGCGGCCTGCCAGGTGCTAGAGAAACACCGGTGAGCAAGTTAAGGATTAGTGAGGCTTCCAGGGCGGCAAGATAACAATCCATAGGGAGTAATGATAAAGTGGGAAGAGAGTCACAGGAATTGCGGGATTAGACATCAGGGTGTCCTAACTTGGGGCTGCAGGGCATACGAAAGCCTCCATGGGAGAGAAGTCCACTGGCATAATTGGACTTGTACCCTGAAATGCGCGGCACTGTATGTGCATGTGTGTGCACATATGTGCACATGCACGGTGTATGGGTCATGCAGTGTGCGCACATGCACATTCATGTTTATGCACACGTTAGCACATATGTGCATGCATGTGCATGGGGCTATGAACATGTATGTATATGCATGCATGTGGTGTGCAGGGCACAGAATAGGGATCCCATTGCAGATAGCTGTGGTAGGACCAGTTGGGGACAGTACCATACACAGGGAATTTTTTGTGCCTCACATGTCACTCATGGCCAGCCGAGGGAAGGATGGGGGTTCTGGCAGACTGAGGAATGCATCGGTTCCACTAAATGGATCTGAGACAAGGTCAGACTTGGAGGGGAGACAGGTGCACAGCCAGAGGCTTGTGCTGGAAGCAGGAGTGATGAACAATGCACTTCCTGGGCACCTGCTTAGGAGACGCAGGCCCCGTACCTGCGACCCTGAGGGTGTGCTTATCAGACCAGTGATTTGGGCACTTCAGCCCCTGCCCTGCCTGCCCTCCTTCCTCTGAGCTCAAGCTTTGCCATACACGGCACGCGGGAAAGGCAGGCCCAGTTGACAGTTATGGGCAGAGATAAAAACATCGGGATTAATACATTTTTTGGCCTGATAATGATTAAAAACAGGTGACAATATTTGGTGTGAGTTACGGTGTTGGGACAGGCAATTTCATACAATTTTTTTAGATGGCAAACTTTGGCATTTATGGATCAAAAGTTTCAACAATGTTCATACCCTTCGGCTCTGTGATTCCAACTTCTAAGAATTATGTATAAAGATATTCATCACGGCTTTATACTAGTGAGAAGCTAGAAACTACTTCAATAGCCAGTAATCCAGATCTGGTTAAAATAAACTGTGGTGCACCCACCTACTAAATTACGGTCTCCAAGCAGCTAATGATACATTTTAAAGTCAAACAAGGTTAAAACAACAGTATGTTCAGTGTAGATTCTAATTTTTAAAAAATTCTCTATCCCCAGATGTATACATAGGAAAAAACTCTGATGATCATATTTATGTTAAAATAAAAAAGAGACAATATATTTTTATATATACACACACGTATGTAAAAATCCCAGGGCAGGCCATATTCCAAACTGATGCCCAGGATGGCTTTTGGGGATGAAGGAAGCTTTGCAAGTGTATCCTTTCCTCTTTCTACTTCTCTGTTCCGAACGTGTACGATCAGAATGTATTACTGCAAGGCAGCATAGCTGGGCGATTAGGGTGAACTTGGGACCAGGCTGCCTGAGCTCAGATCCTCACCCTGTTCCTGCCCAGCCGTGTGACCTTGAGTTACTTAACCTCTCTGTGCCTCAGTTTCCACAACTATAAAATGGAGGCAAAAACTCTCCAGTATCTACCTTATAGATGAGTTGTGATAAGTAAACCAGTAAATTTACATAAAGCACCTAGAACAGTATGTGACCAGCACACAGTAAAATTCTCACAAACAGAAAAGTCTGTTATTTAATATTATTTAAAGCCCGTATCCTCAGTGGGATAAGATCACCCACAAGGGGGCAAACGGTGATTCTTGGGCATGGGGTGAAAAAAATCTTAGATATCACAATGGTCTGTGGCCCTGCACAGAGCCACAGAACATAAACAGGGACACCGTGTATCCTTGGCATTACAATTTCATGGAGGCCGGGTGTATCCAAAAAGAATGTCTGTAATGACTCCTTGTGGGGGTGAGATGCGGAAAAAGGGTGAGAAACACTATTTAATGTATCACATTAAGTTTCGAATCAGTCAAATTACATATACTGTGATGCTTACAGTTATTTTCTCTGTGTGGCGGGATTAATGGTGATTTTGATTTTCTTTCTCTTACTGGGAGAGTAAGAATAAGAAAACAGAAATGTCCATTTGCTGCTTTCATAAAATAAAGATTTTTGTTTTCTGGGTTCATGGCAGGGTTGTGTGTCCAGCGGTAGCTGGAACTCGTTCGTCAGATTCTGTTTGGAGACCGTGATCTTGGTGGGCTCGTGGGGTCTGTGGAAACCCAGCTCCCCGCAGTGCAGCTGGCCGGCTGTGTAGCCTGTTTCTGGCTTGTTGACCCTGGACGGCACCCACGTTATATTTAGTACGGTGTTCTTTTCCTTTCAAAAATATGGAAAGAAGCTAATTTTGTGCTTAGAGGATTTGGACCACATAGCTTCCAACATGTCCCTAAAACAACCTCGGTGGGCAGCCTGGGGCCCAGCTTGGCCAAACTCACCTCTAGACCCCAGAGTTGGACCCATCACTGCCCGTGTTCGAGGAGGCCCTAAGGGGGAAGGGAGTGATCCTATATCTGGGTTTTTAGGAAAGATTGTTAACTGGTTACAGAGGTATCTACTTGTTACCTGGGGAGACCCAGGGGAGGCCTGAAAACAACTTTTTATGCAAAAATCTTGATTTAAGGATCTACCTATGAAAAACCACAGACATGCATCTTTCTAAGCAAGCTGTGAGCATTTCAATTTGAGGTACATATGGCGGAGGCATGTGTTTTCTTTGTATTTTCAGGGGAACGGTGGGAGTTGGGGTAGTATGTGCAAGACAAATGGTCCCAAAAGAAGTCAAAATTCTGTACAAAAAAATGTGGGTTGCAGAAGGATGGCAATATGGCAGCTAACATTTATCAAACTCTTCTATGTTTTATCTGTCTTGGACAAGTGCTCCAGAGAATACAAGAGGAAGTACTCCCAGATCATTTAATGAGGAATGTATAACCTTGATGCCAAAACCACAAAAGGACAAGGCAAGAAAGAATAATGACAGGCCAATCTGATCCACTAGCCCAGAAGCAAACATCCTAAACAAAATATCAGCACATGGAATCCAACAATGTTTTTAAAAATGATAATACATCACAATCAAGTTGACGCTACCCGAAGAATGCAGGGTTGGTGCAACATTAGAAAGTCAAATAGCATCATGTCCCAGAAGAAAGGGTCAACCACAACGGTGTCACCCAGTGGAATACGACACAGCAGTGCAAGTGAGGAAACTGCCGCTCCCCGTACCAGTGAGGGTGATTCTGACAAACATAATGTTGAACAAAAAAGCAAACAGCAGGAGAACACACACAGCATGATTCCATAGAAATGAAGTCCAAAACCAGGCAAAACCAAACAATATGTTGGTCTATTTTTGTAATATTCGGGAGAAATGCAGAGATTATACACCAAAATTCAGGAAAATAGGTACCTCCCAGAGGAATGAGGAATGGTATTGGGAAGCAGAACAGTGAGGGGTACATGGGTGTTTACTTATATTATTCCTTAAAATTCACATATATCTTATATAGACTCTTTTGATTGGCTGAAATATTTTGTAGTTGGAATTTCCAAAGGCCCATCGATGTCTTTTTATTGCTCTTATCATGAAATCCAAACTCCTTTGCCATGGCCTTCAAACCCCGCCAGACTGGATTA